AAAGTAAGTATTGTAGGTATTATCACTCCAGACTTTTTTCTGTATGCCTAATTTCTGTATGTATAGTTTTCTCTGCAAAAATGATACATGGCTTACTTTCTTTACTTTTATACTTCTTTTGTTTTAAACCCTTTGTGAAGAGCTCCCATGTTATTAGTTAAACTCCACAAGGTCATTTTGAAAGACGACATTAGGTGCCATCATGTGGCTGTGCCACAATTCACTTACCCAGCCCCCTGTGGAGAGTTGAGCTCTGTTCAGTTTTTACTGTCGCCATAACCCCAACCAACTTTTCTTGCACTGTGGCTGTTCATGCTTGTCCTGGATGTATTCCTACTAGTTCTAAGGACCTGTGGAGTTTTGAAGTTTTTGTTTGTTTGTTTTGGAGACAAAATCTTACTCTGTTTCCCAGACATTAGGGCAGTGGCGTGATCATAGCTCACAGCAACTTCAAACTCCAGGGGCTCAAGCGATCCTCCTGCTTCAGCCTCCCGAGTAGCTGGGACTACAAGTGCGCACCACCACGCTTGGCTAATTGTTTTTCTATTTTTTATGGACACAGGGTCTTGCTGTGTTGCTCAGGCTGGTCTTAAACTCCTGACCTCAAGTGATGATCCTCCCACCTCAGCCTCCCAAAGTGCTAGGATTACAGGTGTGAGCACTTGCACCTGGCCTGAGTTTTCAAGTTTTTGATCTTTATTGCCACTTTGCCTTCCAGACATTCATCCTGTTTTACATTCCCCCAATATAATATAAACTTTTTACCATGTCCTATACGCTCTGTGTATTCTGGCCTTTGCCTAACTCCCAGCTGCTGCTTTGCACACCCCTCTCGCCTTGCTTCCGGCTCTACCAGCCCGGCCCCTCTCTCCCCTGAAGCTGCCAAGCACTTGCTCATTCTGCTGCCCAGACCACTGCTCCGCTGGCTGTTGGCACACACCTGCGATGCCACTTCTGCCAGAGTGGTCTCCGTCAGAACCCCCTGTTTAGTCCTAGCACCTCTCACAATCTGTCCTGAATATCAGTTTTCCAGGACAGGCGACCTCTTGTGCTTCATTCCCCACTGTGTCCCCAGCATTTAAGTCAGTCGGTAGGTACTGGGTAAATGTGGGCGGTCTTGTTGAGGGAATGAAGAAATCTCCCTGTGGCCTACGAATGCGCCGTGCAGTGGGACTGATGAGATGTGTGTGGCAATAGCCATCCCTTGGAGCAAATGTGGGAAAGGCTGTAAGAAAGCGTCCAAGTGGGACAGGGAGAGGCGGCAGTGGGAGCCGGAGACTGGCGACAGCGTCATGAAAGGCCCCCTTGCTCTGAGCTGCAGTGTTTTGCTGCTGATGATGGTGGGGGGATCCGAGGGTGAGGACGATGGGTGACAGAGGCCGGGACGCAGAACAGTGGTGAGCGCAGCGGGGCAGCACTGGGACCACCCTAAACCCTGCTGACGCCATGTCTGTGAGCCGCAGGGAAGCACCACACAGCCTCACCAGAGAGCACGTGGTTAGCGAGGACGTGGAAGCACTTTGTTTTTGTTTTATGTTTTGAGACAGAGTCTCGCTTTGTTGCCCAGGCTAAAGTGAGTGCCGTGGCGTCAGCCTAGCTCACAGCAACCTCAAACTCCTGGGCTCAGGCGATCCTCCTGCCTCAGCCTCCCGAGTAGCTGGGACTACAGGCATGCGCCACCATGCCTGGCTAATTTTTTCTATATATATTAGTTGGCCAATTAGTTTCTTTCTATTTATAGTAGAGACGGGGTCTCGCTCTTGCTCAGGCTGGTTTCGAACTCCTGACCTCGAGCAATCTGCCCACCTCGGCCCCCCCAGCAGAAGCACTTTTTAAACTCAGTTCTAGGCATGGAGGGTGATACTCCGGTGGCAGAAGGAGCTGTGCTTTGATAAGGGGCACCACGAGGACACCTCGGTGAGAGCGCAGGAAGTTCAGCCAGAGGCTGAGGCTGGAGGAGGTTGGGACGCTGGGGCTGGAATGCGGGGAGGCAGAGGGGGCACTTAGGAGGTGGGGAGGGGAGGGAGGGGGCCCGCAATGACACTAAGGCTTCAGTCCGCATGCCTGATGGGAAGGCGAGCTGCAGAGTCCCAGGATAGAAGCTGTTTAGGGGTGAGGAAGCTTATGAATTTAGTTTTGGCCACCCCATTACTGAATTAGCGAGCATTTTCCAGAGTGAGCTAGCCCGGGTGTCCTCCTTTGTCCTGAAGGGCCTTGGATGACAAGAGGATAGAGGCGGGGAGACAGAAGCATATGCCATAGGACAGGTATAAGGGTGTCAGCCCCTTAGGCTTGGGGCTCCTGTGGCCCTTCCTCCTCTGTAAGAGTAGATGGCATTAGTGGAAAGGGAAATGGGGCCGTCACCCCTTTCTAGGGGGTGAGACATCGTTTGTTGGACATGTCTGCTCCAGTCCCCACTGGGAAGGCGCCTGTTTGCCGTCAGCCCTGTCGTTGGGTGGATCTGTTCGTGTTGTTAGGCTGAGGAGCACGGGGCGGAGGACACGTGGTGAGCGTGGAGCGCGCGCACACGTGGCTCAGGGTGCAGTGGGATGAGGCCCAGAACTGGTGGCCCGTCCTCCTTCCCCTGCAAACATTCACAAGTGACATGTGCTTTTCTTGGGGGAGGAGGTGGATTCAGAGGACGCGTTGTAATTTCTGAGTGCTGTCTAAATTAAAAAGTTAATGAAAAGTATTTTTTTACATAATTTGGGTTTGAAAATAGCCATGTGCATAAAACTACGTAATGACAAAGCTCTCTGTCCTCTAGAGAGGGAAGGGAGAATAGATCTGCTTTGCTGGCATTCTCTGGAGTGTTGTGGTTTTTTTTTGCCACCCTAAAAGCAAAGGGTTTGACAGAATCCAAGTGGAAGGCCGGGCGCGGTGGCTCGAGTCTGTAATCCTAGCACTCTGGGAGGCCGAGGCGGGAGCATTGCTTGAGGTCAGGAGTTTGAGACCAGCCTGAGCAAGAGCAAGACCCTGTCTCTACTAAAACTTAGCCCGGCATGGTGGCGCATGTCTGTAGTCCCAGCTATTCGGGAGGCTGAGGCAGAAGGATCATGTGAGTCTAGGAGTTTGAGGTTGCTGTGAGCAAGGCTGACGCCACTTGCACTCGAGCTCGGGTGATAGAGCGAGAGTCTGTCTCAAAAAAAAAAAAAAAAGGGGGGGAGAGCCCAGATGAGAAGACTACAGAACTTGGTGAATGAGCCACCGCCCGAACCTCGGGAGGCTAGCGATGGCTGAGTGAGAAGGAGGTGACGGGAGCTGCAGAGGTTAACAGAGAGGAAAAGACAGCAGGTTTGAGATGGAGGGAGGAGGAGGAATTCAGCTTGGGAAATGTCAGATGTTGCCTTATTAACCAGAAATTCTAGAAATTTATAGAGAAATTCACTCTACAATTGGATAGTTTTTCCTGGCAAATTGAGAGTTTAATTAGCTTGCTATTTTATCACTAGGGATCATGTTCAGTTTTACATGAGGTTTTGTGATGGAAGAAGAATGCTATAAAGTGTCAGGCCTCTGCTTACGCTCGGTTCAGTAGAGAGTAAACCGCATTCAAGTGCCAGCGTATGCATTGCAGCCGGCACTCAGCGTTTCTTTGCTTTCTAAATGCTGATTTAGTGTTTTCATTGGTGGTGCAAGTGTGAAGAGAGATTGGAGCATGAATCATAGGCAGAAGGGCCTTGATGTTCATTCTGGAAGCCTAAGGCCCCGTGAGCGCCGCAGCTGAGCTGCTACAGCTGGTGGTGGGGTTTGGGTGTGCCTTCGCAGCCTCTTTGGACCGCTGAGGTTGGATGCGATCAGAGGTCTCGCCAGCACTGAAGCTGTGTGGCTCTAAGAGAGCAGCTAGAACACAATCTTCTTTTCTTGCTTCTAAGAATAACACTTTTTTAAAATTTATACTCAAGGTAGAGTATAGTGTGGCCAACCTTCCCACACTTACATTTCGTGCGGCCCCTCTGCGTGGGAAGCTGTGAACAGCAGCTGCCCTGATGACAGACTTGAGATGTCACCACCCCAGCACTGGCCCCCAGCAGCACCTGTCCACACGGCGTAACTTGCCACTGTACCTGGCCTTGGCGGCTTGGTTGCCTGGTGTTCTTTTATTTTTTTTTATACAGTCTGCTCTTTGTGTTTTCTGTTTGGTGAATCATGGACACATTTGTGATACGATATGATAGGGAGGGGGAAAAGCCAACAGATTTGGAGTGAGGCATACCTAGATTCACGTCCCAGTATTCTACTGAACAGATACGTGAACTTTTGAAGCTCAGCTTCCTCCCCCAGGACCTGGGGATAATGGCGCCCGCATCCCAGGGTTTGGGTGAGGACAAGTGACCCGTAGGGACAGTATCATGCACACTGTGGGCAGCTAGCAGGTGCTTAGCAGGGGGCCCCCAACCCTGTCTAGATGTGGACCGGGGACTCCTGTGCCGAGCGAGCCCTCCCGGAGGTGAGAGGGGCAGCCCGACTGTCCACTCTGTTAGAGCATCTGGAAAACACTTCCAAGCACGTTGCCAGTCTCAGGCACTGAGTCTCCCGGAATAATTCCCTCTCAGCCTGCCTTCCGCCCTGTTCCACTCCTGGCTCCTTTCTCCTTGAAGAAGAGAAGAGGGGCAGAGAGAAGGGCGCTCTGGTTGGGGCCATGGTTTTAGGGTGACCATTGAAAGAGTTGGTGCGGGTGGGACCCAGGCAGGGGCGCAGAGCCCAGGAGGACTGCTGGGAGGAGGGGAGGGTTGCACAGAAGGAAAATGCAGTTGATCTTGGCAGTCATGGTATTGTGCAGTAGGGATTAGGGAACGTCTTGGGAATGCCAAAGCATAAAGGTCAAGGTGTTTCGTAGACATTTCCAGTTTTGTCTGAGGCTATAGAATTAGATGAAATAAACAAATGAAGTATCTTTTTCATGCAGGCACAAATCTCATCACGCTTGTGATGTTTTTGTTGAATGTGCTACTGGTAAGGATGTGGGTGGCTGTAAAGGAAATCTTGGGGCACGTGATAAGTAGTTGGTGAAACTAGGCCAGGGAGAGAGAGTGTGCCTGGAGCTTGCTTGCTCTGGGAGGGTAGGGGTTAGGCCTCCTGGCCTCCCTTCTCAGCCCTGCCTCGTTGCACAGGGCTGTGTTGAATGTGCTGCTCACTTCTTTTGCTCTGCCACTCTCGCTGGAAACTGGGATCGTCACCCACTTTCCCTGGGTGTGGGGAGAGCGAAATGATTTCAGTGATAGTGCCTCGCTCTGAGATGCCTAGATAACGTGCAGTGCACGCACACAGGGAAGGAGGATCTGGTTTCTCACGGCCACCCTCACGTGGCTGTGGAGATGGAGAAAAAATACCAGGTAAGGTGGCCCTGGCTCCCCTAAGGACGGCATTGTCGTATCACAATGACATACCGGAGCGCCTCGATGACTGGCCGTGCTGAGTGGCCCGTGCTTCCACAGCAGGGCTGTGCTCACCAATGAAAGGACTGAGAGCCACCTGTATCTCTGAGTGCAAATTGCCTTAACAAAGCCGGGGCTGGACAGATCCCTCTGTCACTAGGCCACCGGGCAGGGTTTCTAGGGCCGGAAGTCCGGCTGCCTGCTCTCTCCTCAGTGCCTCAGAGCATGGGCGATGCGTCTGTACTGGCGACCTTCACGATTGTTGATCCTTGAATCTGCCCAGTGTCTCACTTCACAAGTCCTAGGGCAGCAGGGGAGCGCGGAACCTACTCAGATCTACAAAGGCAACTGAAGAGAGTTAGCTATGTTTTCACATAAGGCTATATTCTGTGAGGTTTGACCACTCCAAAAATAATTACCCAAGACTCTCCGTGTTCTTTAGTCTCTGTCCGTGACTCTTCTTTTGTCCCAGATGAAGTAGGATGAGCAGAGCATGCCAACTGCTAGGACTGCTCTAAACGGCAAACTCGGAACAGATCTGACGTGGATGACCTGGGCATTCCGGTCTTAAGCTGGAGTGTCTGAAGGAAGTGCCGTCCAGGTGCTTTGCTTTTTGTTCTCCCATTGTTGGAGAACTCTCCCCAGATTCAGGAATGTTCTGCTGGGTGTGGAGTGTCCCTTGGACACCTGCGGCTATCACATGCAGCCTCCTCTGCCCGGGCCTGGTGTCGGGCCCTCCTGGAGCCTCGGCCACCGGGTCTGGCGCAAGATGAGGGCTCCCGCGGCCAGGTCGGCAGTTGCTTTCATGTGGGGCTGCAGGATTCCTCCTCCAGCCCTCTCCTCCCACAGTCCTCTGTGCTGCCCATCCTCCCGCAGAAGGGGTGGACAGAGTCGTTCCTGGTGGCCACCTAGCTGGCCATGCAGCCACCACGGAGGCCACATTTTAGGGAAACTGAGAGGCCTGTTCCTCTGTTTAGATGTGACGTTTCTGCTCTTTGTAACTTACCCTTGGAATTGCCGATGCATCGAGGCTTGGGAAGTCTTTGTGATTTAGAATCCTGTACTCCAAGGAAGAATTTTCTTTTGATGTCTTCGACCCTTAGTTCCTGAAGAAGTTTTTGTAGTATTACAGGGACAGTTAGAATTTGAGGAGATAGCATGAAAATTATAAACTTCATACCTCTGTGAGTTAGTCACATGATAATGTAGGCTAAAGAAAATAAGAAACGTATAGATGTGTTTGTAAATTGATGTTGATTTGGTATCTCTTTCATCCTTCTCTCCCAGTTTCATGCAGATCAATAGTAATACTCATTACTGTTGGAGAACTTGCTGTATATCAGGCAGTAAGTTATTTGCTTCCCATGGTTCTCTTTAAATCTTGATAGCAATTCTATGACGTTGATGATGTTGTTCTCATTTTACAGAAGTGCAGAACTGCTCAGGGAGGTTAAATAACTTGAAAGCCTACAAAACCAGAAAAATGGTGTACGTGGAATTTGAACCAGGCCTAGCAAACTTTAGAGAGCTTGGCTGTTACATCGCACTTGGTATCTTTTTTGCTGGGTGCCTGGTAGGCTCAAGGCAGGGTATTATTGCCACACGGTATAAAAATGAAATCAAGAAGCTTACCATGATGTGGAGCATAAGATAGATATACAAGCAATAATATATGGACACAGTGAGAAACACAGTGAGAAAGTGTTACCAAGAAAGTTCAAGTGAGGTGCCTTGGGGTTAAGGAAGAGGCTGAGATTATACGTACTTAACTGTGGTCATTCAGGAAAAGGTCACAGAAGTGGTGTGCTTGAAGTGGACTGGCAAAGTCTCACCTGTTGGAGGTGGTAAGGGAAAGATTTGTGGCTGGCAGTGACCACCAAATGCCCAGGCCAATAAATGAGCTCCTAAAAAGACAATTAGATTGTAGTAAATATATAATGCATATATGTGTATCATATACCAGTGTGTATTGTGTGTGCTGGATATACTTACATTTACATTCTTTGTAAAAACCTTATATTCTGTTCAAAAGCAAAAGGCTAGTGATTTTAAGTAGCAGTGTTGTCCAAACTGTGTTCTCTAGTTTTCCTGAGAACAAGAACACCTCTAAGCAATACTTATTATTAATAGACATTCATGTTTATACTGGCCAGGTAGGAATGAGGTGTTGTTTTTTGCTTTTTTTTCTTTCAGGCATCTGTGAATGGGGCCACTCCCTTTTTAACATTTTTAAAAAAAAGTGTCTGCTTTTGTCTAGCATGTTGAGACGTTAGACTTCCTGTTTCTGCTTGATTTTGAAAATATCTCCTGTTTGCCTATCGCAGGTAATCCTGTGTTCTTGTCCGGTCGTAGTTTATGGGTCGCAAGTGCAGGCAGCGACCAGTCCGTCCCTGTTGTGGACGTGGAGGCCTCCCTGGACTCACAGTTAAAGGCTACATAATGTATTCCACTACAAGTGACGAAACCCTGCTCCCAGACTAACAAGCAAGACAACTTTTAACGTGACTGTTGCTGACCAGTGCCTTCTGTGCGTTTGTCTGGGAAGCTTGTGGTGGATTTTTCAAAAGGATGGCGTAAATCATTTTACGTTATTCTTGGGCAGGACTGAGTCCCCCGAAGGTGATACAGGCGCCATAGCGAGCGCATCAGCAGGGTGGCCGCGTTTGTTCCTCAAGTCTGTATGACTCAACCAACACTGTGGGATTGTCCTTCTGACTGAGCACGGGAAGAAAATGCTAAAGCTTGGTGAGTTAAAACTGCCTTCAGAATGTTTTGGATGGGGTATCTTTGTTGGAATCTGGCGGAATATTCAGGCGACTGAGTAACATGGTGTTGCCGTCCACAAGAGAATAGTATCTGGCTGTGGCTTTAGCGTGGTCGTGTTCAGCAAATCAGTACTTTTCTTTCGCTGTGGCCCTGGGCGAGGGGAGCCAGTGTTCAGCTGAGGGAGCTAGGAGTATTGTGTGTGGAAAAAGTGGCACCTGAGGTTTGCGTGTTTCATTTGTAAACAAGTGAAGGATTAAAGTGTTTCAGAAATGGGGGTCTGAAAAGACTGGATAGCTTTTTTACCCAAAATCTCTGTTTTACGTTTTCCATGCACTTATTAACTGTAGGACACCTCTGGTTCCCAGTGGTCTACAGTGACGGCAGCACCGTGGGATGACCAGTAAACACACGAGTATTTATCTCTGTTCTCCCATTGGGTAATTGTCAGAATAGTACTGTTGCCATTTTCTTTACCCACCATAAAGCAATTTTACCTTATATATAAAGCCTTTTGTACTTTTAGAATAATCTCATGGGCTTGGTTTTAGCCGTACTTACTGCTTCTACAAGTAGACTTAATTTATTTTTAAGATAAATTAAAAAGTCAAGGATTGAAATAAAGAGAGCATTTTGAATAGCCTTTAAAGTTACATTTTATATACTTTTGTCCAAGTTGATTCATAATATTTGCTTAAGTTTGTCTAAATTTTTTTTTTTTTGAGACAGAGTCTCGCTTTCTTGCCCAGGCTAGAGTGAGTGCCGTGGCGTCAGCCTAGCTCACAGCAACCTCAAACTCCTGGGCTCAAGTGATCCTGCTGCCTCAGCCTCCCGAGTAGCTGGGACTACAGGCATGCGCCACCATGCTCGGCTAATTTTTTCTATATATATTAGTTGGCCAATTAATTTCTTTCTATTTATAGTAGAGACGGGGTCTCTTTCTTGCTCAGGCTGGTTTTGAACTCCTGACCTCGAGCAGTCCTCCCATCTCAGCCTCCCAGAGTGCTAGGATTACAGGCGTGAGCCACCAGCGCCGGGCCTGTCTAAAATCTTTATGCTCAAAAGACTTTGTGGAGCTTAAATTGAATGCTAGAAAAAAAACTAGAAATTGGAAGACATAGTTGGATGTTGGTATATCTAGTCTCTTGGCTTATTAACTGGTCCCTTGGCAGCCAATAAATACTATTTCAGAAAATCATGACTTCTCTTGTATAAAATGTGCTTACCTGTACATCATTTATATTAAATGCACATTTCTCTACCGGATGCCCAGAGCTATACATGTGATTCTGTCTCTCTCTCTCTCTCTCTCTATATATATATATATATATATACACACACACACACACAATATATACACACACGCACACATTCAATCCAATATATAAAATTAGATATGTGTCTGTGACTGTATATCATGGCGTATATACAGTTGGAGTCATAGCCAGGTTTGCTTGGAAAGGTTTTGTGGAAGAAATGAGTTTTTGGTAGCGTTCCAAAGGGAGAGTAAATAACGTACTTTGGCAGAAAGAAGTATACGTAGAGTTTCCAAGGCTGGAGTGATTAAGTCACATGTGTTCATGGGGTTAGCATGAGCCATGTGAGAGCAGATTGAAAATAGCCAGGCTAGAAGTGAAGGGGCGGCTAGGGGGTGAGGGCCAAGCAGAGAACCAGAGTGGTCTAGTGGCCTTTGGGAACTTCTCTGCTCTGTGTTCCTGGTGAATTTCACTCTCAGATACCAGCATATCCTGACCATGTTGCCATCTAGTGGAACTGGCTGGAATGCATGTGGGATTGCACTTCAGGATACATGACAGTGTGACATCTTGGCAGTAGGGAAACGTTTAACTTCCTTTTTCCCCAGGGATTTTAATGACAAATTAGAGAGAGGAGATGGATGCAACTGGCTTCCCCCAAATTATATTAATTTAGACTCTAGAAATACGGAGCTGAATGCCAATACGAAGAATTTCTCATAGACGTTTGGACGCCACAGTATTAACTGTTTGCTGAGAGTGCAGGGTGTGCATGGCCCATCAGCTCAGTGCATGAGCGTGCAGAAAGCAGTACTTGAGAAGTTCTGCAGCAGAGTGAAAGCATAGCACACATGGCCCCGGGCCCTTTATGATTCACTTGGTTTGGCTTGTTTTTCATGAGGTCAGAGAGTCCATCCTGGTGGCAGAGAGAGCCCTCTGACCATAGGCACCACAGCCCACAGACCTCAGACCTCAGACACTGCGAAGGTCTGCCCTCCCTGCCACTCATCCACGCACATTCCCATTCGGCAGATACTTACTGAATTGCTGTTATGTCTCAGGCATTCTTCCAGGGACTGGGGATACAGCAGTAAACAAAGCAGGTGGAAATCCCTGTTCTTGGAGAGCTGACAGACAACAAATAAATATTATTAGTTTGGTGCAAAAGTAATTGCAGTTTCCAACTATGAATTTGAAATCATTATAACTAGGCTCAAACACATCTTCATGGATCAAAATAGGAGCCATTGCAATCAACACTCTTTTGCCAACAAGAAATAAATTTGTTTATTACTGTAGTGTAAAAAAAATCTGTGCTTCTGGATTCTGTGAACTCTTGGAAAGCATTTTCTGCATCCTGCTGGTTGTGGAAACATTTTCCCTGCAAAAAGTTGTGGAGATGTTCAGAGAAGTGATAGTTGATTGGCAAGAGGTCAGGTGCATATGGCGGATGAGGCAAAACTTCGTAGCCCAATTCGTTCAACTTTTGAAGGCTTGGTTGTGCCACGTGTGGTCAGGCGTTGTTGTGGAGAACTGGGCCCTTTCTGTTGACCACTGCCGGCTGTGGGTATTTCAGTTTTCAGAGCATCTCATCGATTTGCTGCGCCTACTTCTCAGATGGAATGCTGGGATTCAGAAAGCCGTAGTGGATCAGACCGGCAGCGGACCACCGAACAGTGACCCATGAACTTTTTCTCATGTAAGTTTGGCTTTGGGAAGTGATTTGGAGCTTCTTCTTGGTCCAACCACTGAGCTGGTTGTTGCTGGTTGCTGTATACAGTCCAGTTTTCTTCATGTGTCACAATCTGATCAAGAAATATTTCAATGTTGTTGCATACAAGAAGAGAAGATGACACTTCAAAATGACAGGCACCCACTTATTGAGCTTTTTCACCTTTCCAATTTGCTTCAAATGCCAAATGACTGTAGAATGGTGGATGTTGAGTTCTTTGGCAACCTCTCGTGTAGTTGTAAGAGGATCAGCTTCGATGATTACTCTCAGTTGGTCATTGTCAACTTCTGATGGCCAGCCACTGTGCTCCTCATCTTCAAGGCTCTCGTCTCCTTTGCAAAACTTCTTGAACCACCCCTGCACTGTACGTTCCTTAGCAGTTCCTGGGCCAAATGCCTTGTTGATGTCCCTAGTTGTCTCCGCTGCTTTGTGACCCATTTTGAACTCGAATAAGAAAATCACTTAAATTTGCTTTTTGTCTTACATCATTTCCATAGTCTAAAATAAATAAAAACATAGTCTAAAAACAGCAAGTAATAAGTCATTAGGAAAAAAAAATAGAATGAGAAAAGCACATTAAAATGATGTATAACATAACCACATTTATTTAAGAATGTATTCCAATAGCAAATGGCAAATGTCAACAGTGCTAAAACCAAAATTACTTTTGCACCAACCTATAGAAAAAAACAATTTTAAGCCCAAGAGGCATATCGGGATTGTTTGGTGGGCTGTCGGTAATGGTGGTTACAATTGTGAGTAAATGCTCACTGAGAAAGTGGTATTAGACTCACCTGAGAGGTGTGAGGTAGCCAGATGTGGCTACTCTGCAGAACATTCCAGACAGAGAGCAAACAGCTGCACAGGCCCTCAGGTGGGAATGGGCCTGGTATGTTCCAGAAACAGCAAAGAGGCTGATGGGAGAGGGACAGAGGGGTCAGAGAGGTAGAGAGGGACCAGACTGTGGGGGGCCTTGTGGACGATTGGAATGAATTTGACTTGTACTGGGCATGGGATGAGAAGCCATTGGATCTAGTCAAATCTTCTCGTTTTACAAATGAAACTTAGGCCAAGGAGATTAGAGCAGGTGTCTGCGGTCATCCAGCTTCATAGCGCTGGAGCTGGGATGGAAACCTGGGTCCTGGCTCCAGCGCTCTTCCTGCCACCCTGCCTGCCCGGTGGGCTGTGTGAGCTCACGTAGGCACAGACCTCCACGTGTGGTGGTCTGAGAGGAAGCAGCGTGCCCTGGGTTCTTCCAGCAGCCGTATTTCAGCGTGGCTCACCCTAGCTGTCCGCCTGCTGGCCTAGAGAGTCCCCATGACGAGCACAGAAAGGATCAGACCTCTTATCTCAGAGGAATACTCTGCTGAATAATACTGCCTGCCTTCGTTCGGTATGGAGATCAATCCTTTGGGTTTTCCCACTCTTCCTCTATCCATCAGCTATTAAGTACAAGTACCTACAGTCTCCTAAAGCCCTCCCCTGTTCCCTGTCTGCATTCATTTTTAAGCTATTTGGATATAATTAACACAAGATAAAATTTCTGCAGTCTTAAGGTATTTGATCACAGTTCTCAGTATCATACCCTCACCATGACAGTAAGAGAGTATTAAATGTTATTTAAAATGAGTTTGAAAACAGGATTACCAGTTGAGGAGAGAGTACAAACTTGTTGTCACCAAACACAGCTTAACCTGGACAACTTTTGGCCAATACTCTTTGTCTTCTTGCTTTACTTTGAACCAGCTCAAACCTTTTTTATTTTTTCCCTTCCATCTCCTTTAGATCTTATGACCGTTGTCCTCTGGACACAGGCCAAATCCTCTAATTCCACTTTATGATGAAGGTCAGACCAGTTCTAAGTATAGAAGAAAATGACTTTGTGCTGTCACTTGCATCGTCTGCTCTTGTTTAATCGTCTCATGGCCTATATCCAGTGGACAAAGTGACATGAAGCATTTGCGTCTTGTGAAGGAAACTTACCCTGAACTCTC